CACACACACACACACACACACACACACACACACACACACACACACACACACACACACACACACACACACACACGTGCACACACACACACACACACGTGCGCATACACACACACCCATGTGCGCACGTCTTGCGAAATGAAAAAAATGCGCCATGAATTGTGGTATAAAAGATGACACCGAATAACCTATTAATCGAGAGTCGTACGTGCAACCCTAAGGTCACATCCTCGCAACAAAAACGTCTTGTGAGGGGTTGTCGCTGTCGGCCTCTGCTGCATTGTGTCCAGCGTCGATGTCCACATCAACAGGGTCGTATTCAAAGTCGAGACGCGTGGGCAGTATATTTGCATCACCATCACTCGAAACGTCTTCACTGTCGGAATTCGCACTTGACGAATCGCCGCCCGATGGAGCGATAACACAAGTTGCGACATCATCGTCAGTCGCAGATCCGACACCATCATCCGCATCCATAATATCAAGAATGATGTCATCAAGGTCCTCTTGCTGCAATATACGCCTCGCCCAATCACCCACCCGAGGAGTGCCCCAAACAGCACGTGCTATTTCAAAACGCCATGTTTGGTCATGTGCTTGCAACTGCCAACGTCACGAGGATCTTCTACGGTGACCGACGCTAGAGTCCTTGCGATAGACACATCCAAGTGTTTTCAGAGCTCTGTTCTTGTTTCAATCTAGAGCTGCACAAACCACCCTTGCCTCGTACGACTTCGAAAAATTCAAACGCTTCGAACAAAACTTGTTGATTATCGAGTGAAAGCACTCGTTGTAATGAGTACATCGCGCACGCGTGTAGAAAGACATTTTTGTTGCAGAGGCGAAATCCCGCAAGCAATACATGATAGCAACATGAAGTCTACCTCCTTTCTCGTAGAGCGGAGACCGCTCTTTCCCGCCATCGGCTTTGCATAGTCCTGAAAGCTCGTCGTTGCACATCGAGTGGTCGCTCGTCCAATGGTTGTCCAGATGTTTCACATGGATTGCGAGTACCTCGCCGTCGTCATCGCCTTCCGAGGCACGTAACTTGCACGCACCATAAAACCACTCCTTCACTTCCTCGCCACATTTTGGATGAAAGGACTCTAACGCATCAACCTCCACCACATCGATTTCCAAAGGTTTCCCTTGTTGCGCTGGAAATAACGTTCACCAAACCCATTCAACAATTGTATCTTTCTTGGTGTTCACGGGGATTGGTTGTTGAAGACCCTTCTCACGGAGCCATGCACTGAGTTCCTTCTTCGTAAACATTCGAATCTCAAGCACGTGCTCACAGTCGTCCACGATCTTTGGTTTCACAAGCTTCGTGCGTCGTACCACCTCTCTCAACCGTTTCAACAAACTCTTCGCTTTGTGCCACAAACACTTCTGAGAGTCAATATCCAATGCGCGAAGCAAGACCTCCACAGTTGTGCAATCGTCATGCACGACCTCCGCAATCACGAGATTTTTCTCGTTCACCAAACGACTCAACAACATATCAACACACCTCTTTTCCAGACGCCATGATGAATCATTGTCTTTCCTAAGGGTTTGCATTCCAAAAATTTGTCGTGATTCGAGCTCCATCGTAGTCACCGTGCAATATTGCGCATCTCGAGAGGAGTCGTATCGGCCGTCCAACAACAATACGACCGGCTCGTTGCTGGACTTCAAACGAGATATCACTCTGTTATAGCTTTTCTTTGCCACGCGCCGCGCATGCCTTCCCCATTGCCGCAATCCTGACCCACTATCTCTGAAAAACCTGTAGAATGTGTCCTCGCTCATATGACGCATCCCCAAACCGCGCGCCAGGTTGTCAAGCTGTGTGCATGTCATTCCGCAACTAATTGCGGAATGAAACATTTGGGTCTCGACACGGGAACTCTTCACACCCCCTTCGCCGACCTTAGTAGAATTCCAATGCCACGTGCAACCCTTCTTGCATCGGAAGTGGATGGTGCAAATATGACAAGGGTACTTCACCTTTTCAATTTCCACGTCAACTTCTCGACCATACACAGGACATGACTTATCGAATATCCCAAGAATTTGAAGGAGTTTCACGGGCTCCAAGAAAACAACATTTGGACGTGCTCTAGCGTCCCACAAGGCCATGTGGTCTTTCACGGTCAATCTATGTAACATCGGTCCATGATCTTGGAAACCGGGCTTCCCATCGCGCCATTTCAAAGCCCCTCCACGAGGTCTCCCAACTGGGTTGCGCCCTGAAGCGGTCGTCCTCGATGCCCCCCTGCCCCTGTTTGCAGACGACTGTCCAGACCCTCTCACTGAAGACAAGTGGTCCGCAATGCCATCCCGACCCCACTCGAACAGCAGATCAATCGCCATCTCAAACGTGCCACCGTTAGCGATATTGTTCACAATAGTCTGCAGTTTTTCCTTCTGGTCCTTCCGCACTCTTATCCGTGGTGGCTCCCTTGATGGAGTGTTGGATCGACTACGCCGCCTGGACGGTGTCGGCGTCACCTTCGGACTTTCGCAAACCACCCGGCTTATTTGCACATTGTCCACACCATAGGTAACGTCTGGACCAATTGGATATGTTGTGCAAACCGGGGAAGACACTGCGGGGTCATTTATTGTAGGTGCTCGCCTCTCTGGCCATGCGGATGTGCTCGGGCCACACGAAGTCGCATGTGCTCCGCCGTCCGCGGATCGTGTAAAACCGCTCCCGTGGTGCACAGCAGGAGGAACAGGGGCAACAGGATAGAAGCACGGTTCATTGCATGACGGTCGTGAAGGCACGTACGAAGGCATGCATGTAGGCAGCGGAGGTAAACAACCGGCAAACCATCCTAATGCACTGTTGAACGGGGCAAAGATGGCAGGCATCGGGGTTTGCAATAATGCGCACGTGGTGGGCGGCGCAGACCATATCGGAGGCACTATCAAAGAGGCGAAAGTTGCCATCTCACTGTGGAAAGGCACTGGTGAAACAACTGTTGCCACGGCCAGTAGTGGTTGTGGGATAGACGTTAGACGCTCATCTAGCCGCTTCCTTGTGAACGGTCGTGCAAGTACGGCGTCACCCCGTGTGCGGCCTCTCGGACCCAAAATCCCATGACAACGATCCGGAAAAAGCACACAGCCTTGCGGTCGTCTGGGTCGACATTGCCGACGAGTACATCGTAGAAGTGCGAAGCAGAGGGGAAACCGATGTCGTTCCCGCTCCAACTGGACTGCTTGTTTTTGACATCTCATCCGACGACATTTCGCGTGAACTCCTGCAAGATGACTACAAAGATTGACGACAAAAAAATTATACAACGGAATGAATAACGAAAAAATAATAATGAACAAGACAAATCACACAATCAGAAAAAAACAGTCAATTCAATCAATAAATCATTCAATCATTTGGTCATCTAAGGTACCCGGCTGAGGCTGGCTCTCGTGACTGATTGATAGATTACACAATATGTTGACGGCGGAGAGATATTGAGATGGAAAAGGAAAGAGAGATAGAGAATGTCAACGAGAGAGAGAGAGAGAGAGAGAGAGAGAGAGAGAGAGAGAGAGAGAGAGAGAGAGAGAGAGAGAGAGAGAGAGAGAGAGATAAAGTCTAGACAGGGTGTGTGTGTCAGACGTATGTGTCTGTCTCAGTCTCAGCATTCTGCGAATGTGTGTGTGTCTATGAGTGTTTGCATACAGGCTGACGACTTATACTGCGAATGTGCACTTATCGGTGTTGTGGACGGAAATGTGTTCATATGCATACAGGTCCCGACCTGCAGGTGGGCGATACCGGCAAGGGGATAGCCGGTAGCATCATGGACCATGCYTACAGGACCAATCCATGTGCCTCCCCTCAGGTCCCTATACACACACACACCAGCAGACTCTGCTCAATGCCGATCGGGGGGATCCACTGGTGTATCTCCAGGTGGCGGGCGCCAAGGATGGCCAGTAAGGTACATGAGGGCAATGGGAATTGAACCCACGACCTCCTGAATGCCACTTTGCGAGCCTTACCAACTGAACTAGGCCACTGGATGTGGCCGTGCAGTCATCAGGGGTAGCATAGAGGATATACTGGGAAACAAATTCCGAAAAGGAAAAAAAAAAAAAAAAAAAAACGAAAAGGAAATATATTATTCAGAATAAAATCAACGAAAAAGGTAAGTGTGACATATCGTGGCAGCAAAAAAAAAAAAAAAAAAAACGCGGACAGCTGCCCCCCCACATGTCAGGGCATACTCGACCAAGAAATTAGCAGTGTTGTTTTATTCTAGACGAAATTGAGGCCGCATGCGTACAGGTCTGGCTGTGTCCCGGAATGCCAGATACATTTACCATACTGGCAGTGTGAGTACACCTCTCTCTCTCTCTCTCTTTCTCTGTGTGTGTGTGTGTGTGTGTGTGCTTGCGACTCCGTACTCCCATCCCAGAGACAGGTGGTGCCGAATGCGACCGCGGAATCTGTGCATAGCTACCCTGCATCGTTTTTATTTCATTTTATTACCACATATATGTATCTCTTTTCACATAGTGAGCACTCCGGTAAATGTGCTCATTCTGTGAGAAGCGGTACATAAATGTGGTCAATCACAGAATGACAACATTTACCGAAGTCGTCATTCCGTGAAAAGAGAGACATAATGAATTTTTGGATGTCTTCCTGTCTGCCATGCATTTCGAAATGGTGTTACAGTCCATCCAGGGTACTTCCTATCACATGATAGAAAGCAGACAACAAATAGAAAGAGAAGTGGGACAAGTCTCTCTATCCCGCTCGCTGCTCCTATGCCATGGATGCCCCTGACTGCTCCTATCCCGCTCGCATCCCAACAATATTCTCCTATGCCATGGATGCACCTGACTGCAAAAACGTCCACAGACAAGTGGGACAAGTCTCTCTCTCCCGCTCGCTGCTCTCTCTCTCTCTCTCTCTCTCTCTCTCTCTCTCTCTCTCTCTCTCTCTCACACACACACACACACACACACACACACACACA